ACCAATAATAGCCCTAATACATTTTGTCCGAGTAATAAAAACATTATTCGCATCTAATTTAGCCATAGAATTATAGCGAACATAATATTAATCAAAAAATCAACTAAAGTTTCTTATGTTTCTTTCTGTCTTCTTGTATTAATGCTTTGTTGGAAAGTGACAGATGAGTACTTTAGTTAAATATGTGCATATTTTTTTGTACGTTACATTATCAAGGACTACTGTGTAGCGTGTATAATAGAAATATTTGGTAAATAGAAAAGCTTATTGTTATTGTTGTAGGACGGATTGAAATAGAAATTGTAGAGTAGAGCGAATATTAACTGTTGTTAAATTCTAGCATGATTCTGATAAATTGTTACATTATTTTCAACTGAATGTTATACAGTTTTGGAAAACGTTAGCTTACTCAAAATATATTTAGAATAACATCTTTGTATAATTAACAACATTTTTGATTATTTTTTATATCTTATATATTATATAAGATATGTTTTACTTGTTACTATGTTTATCCGTCGAATAACTTTAGATATTATAATTTGAAACAGACTACAAGAAAAGCAATTTCTATCAAAAATTCACGTCATCATCATTAAGTCCCGTGTCCTAGAACGTCAATCAAACTTTAATCTGGTTTCAGGAGCTGTCAAACCATTTTCTCCGTGTGTTGACATATTTGACAGCGCTCACGACAAGATTAAAACATTTTACTTCTATGCACAAGTGTTCATTGCTTATGATAAATCTAAAATAGGTTTGATTAATTTCTTTCAATGTATGAAAGTCCTTTGTTGTTATTTAATTTACTTCATCTTTAGGTAAAAATTAATCAAATAAATTGAATTGTTATTTCAAATATATGACAAGTATATGTATATGTGCTAAGACAATATTGAAACCTAGCTGAAAAGGTCGCAAGCCACAATTATAAAGCACTTGAAATAAAATATATCAAGTTTTTTTTGTTACATTGAGACATTATTTATATAGGAATGTGAAAAAAGCAAGTCATCTTTATTACCCGTTTCGTATATGATCTTGTTTTGATGTTAAGTGCCTCTTAAGTATGTCACGAACATCAACAATATAGCAACGTTTTTATAAAAACTTTATGAAGTAAATATACCATTTTTCTAGATAGGTTTTTAAATAAGAGTTTAATTCAAGATAACGTCTACGCACAATGACCGTTGTAGGGATGCAGGGCTCCAGAGTCCAGAGCGGTTAATTCATAGTAAACATTTTGGAATTTTGGACACACGACTTAGACTTGTCTCTTGAAGAAAAGAGCATAAAAAGTACGCTGTTTTTTTATTATAGACGGAAAACGCGCAGGCTCTCCTGATGTTAAGTGATACCGTCGCCCATGGACGCTCTCATTGCCGGCAAGCCTTTTTCTTAAAAGACCCTAAGTCGGATTGGTTCGGAAATACTTAAGCGAGCTTCTGGTTCCATCTCGGCGTTGCAGGCGACCATGGGCGGCGGTACGCACCAGTGTTCACAACAATTATTTAATTAGATTTCGTACCAGGGCCGTAAAATAATATATTGGTTATCGGATCAAAATCATATATACTATTAGGATATAGCAGTTCTAGATAATAGACGTTAAAAAAGTATCGTATGTGCGTTCGCATGGCATCGTACATCGTTATGAGATTGCCCGACATGTACGTAATTAAACGTACGTACGTTGGGAACTCTGGAAAGCAATTCTTTCTACGTGCTGCTTACTTCCTATCTACGTATGTATGTTATTGTTGCAATTTTATAATATTTGAGTAGTATCTAAAAGTCATATTCTGGTTGTCCGAGTTTCATCAAAAGCAGTGCAGTAGTTTTTGAGATATAGGTGAATAATGTTTACATGTATTTGAAGACGGTTTAATTTTTCCTGAATTATTTATTAATATTATTGAACTGACGCTTCATTGCTGTAGCAATACAGTCGAAATTCGTTTGTATATTTTGTTTCTTTAGAACTAGAAAAACAATTATTTAATTTTGCCAAAATTTAGAAAAAAATATCGTCAACCCTTTTCGTATATTAAGCTTTAAATTTAATGTAATTTCTACTAACGTTAGTTTCTGTTATATAATGCAAAAAACTATATCTAATTTTACATATTTCTTAGAACATATATTTACATGTTTATTCATGCTTGAAATTACGATAATTTTTTCCGTATAAAGAGGAATTAACTTATTAGTGTTACGATTCATTTAGTTCGTAATTTGAATTATAATCTCCACTTAATTATATTATTAGCAAAATTTATAAAATTACAAACAAAACGTATCTTAAAACATTATACATATATAAGCTATGTGTTTCACCCGCGTTAGTTCTATCTGCGTTTATATACTATATGTGCCTCCTATATGACGATTAGACATATATTTTTTTAAATAAAAAATCCATATCGGGACCGCATCAACAATTTATAAAAAAATATAATGCCATTTCAGAGGAGTTGGACCACTGTCAGGAGATTATTAAACACATTAGTTTCATCATCGGACGTCGAGGCAGAATACGAAATTCCACCCGTATCACCTCGACGTCCGACGTTCCACAACTGAGCGTTTTTTAAGGCAGTTTTTGCAGCGTGGTGCGCTGCAAAAACCGCTAGGTATGTGGAACCAGCTGCCCACTGAAGTATTTCCGAACCAATTCGAATTAGGGTTCTTCAAGAAAATAGCGTACCAATACTTAAAAGGCCGGCAACTCACCCACGAGCCCTCTGGCACTGGGAGTGTCCATGGGCGGCGGAGTCACTTGCCTCCTGTCCGTTTGCCACCTATTCTTTAAAATAAGTTTATACACCTTTTTTTTATAGATTAGAAGGGCAATCGTGTCTACGGGGCACCAAAAAAGGCCACCCCCGCCCATGGATACCGATTTTAATTGGTGTGTTGCCGGCCTTTGAGGGAGGAGTATGCAGTTTTCTTTTTTTACGTATCGTTCTGCTATGACCACAGGAGTGTAACCGTCAAAGCAAAATTAAAACTAAAAAACTGTTATAAGGCTTACATTAAATTAATAAATGTGCATTGTAGAATACACCTTAACGCAAAGGATTAATGATGTCATTATTCGCGAGCATTCGAAGTCTTAATAAAACAATTTTACTAACACTGGTCATGGTATAGGCTCTAGGTGTTTACCATGTCTATCGAAGCAAAACGATTTTTTTGTGCTTTTAAATATAACAAAGAAATACATTTCACGAGCTGTATGTATATTACAAATAATAGTGATTTTGACTAATACCTAACCAATTTAAAAAAAAGTGGTGCTACAACCCTCTAGGTCTGTACCGCAGAAATCTATATCCGTTTCGTAATAATTTATGTTTCTTAAATCTGATCAGAATGGCCTTCTATGCCTGACACACGCCGTCGACTTTTTTCGGTCTAAAGCATGTCGGTTTCCTCACGATGTTGTCCTTCACCGTACGAACGATACTTACCCAGGACTAAGTTAATAGTAACTTAAATTTGCACGCCCTATAATCATGATCCGCGCGTCCAACCAAATAACATTATACAAGCTACGTCCCGGATGTATCAAACGCTTGACTGATTCCAACTAAACCCTTACAGGTGTAACGACCAGGTGTGTCAAGTTTTAAATAAGTCAAGGTCAAACATTTAATAGGATCAAGTGAACGTGTCACTGAAACCTTAAATCAAATGTCTTTTTCATCGCTAATTAAGATTTTGCCCAAATCTGGCTGGATCGGTATAAAATAGCAATGTTTATTTCATGTGATATATGTATATGCGGATACGCAAGAGTCATGGGTTACGTGAGTGTATTAATAGAATTAAAAAACTTCCAACATTCAAGGATAAAAAATCCGTAAAGTTTTTATTCCGAATTCCAATTTAAAAATGATAACAATAAGTTTTTAAAGAAACATTATACAAGGTATGTTCTGTGCTGCGGTGTATTAAGAACATGCGATTTCAACAAAAAAAAATATATCGACATCACTACACTGGAAGTCGCGAGATTCTTTAACTAAGTCTTAAATATGAAGAAATCTTTGCTTTGTTCACAATCGGTTCACCAGCTACCATAGTAACAACTGAGGATGCGTTGCGTAGGAAGTAGTGTTTCGTAATAGTTCCAGATCAAGTTATATACTTAATAAATTGATTTTATGATTCCCACATAACGTTAACAAGGAGATATGAGGGCCGAGAAACAATGCCTCCACCTTATCTTCCTTTCATATCACGAACGTTTCTAACAAACAATTGTATTGCCGTATACTTCCGCCACAATCAACGCTTGGTTCAATTCACACCCCATAGTATGAATAACACAGAATAAAATATATAAATCGCGCCACAGAGTATCTAGAATAAATCAGCCATAATACTGATAGGCCTTAAAAATCAATGAAATATTTATACATTACATAAAAAGGGTAAAAAAGTAATGATTCAAACTCATGATTGTTTTTATATACAACTTATTTTTATAAGTAGGTTACGCTAAGCTGAGGGAGATAGTTGAGTAGACATTGAGAAAATATTTTTTAAATTTCATTTTTTTAATTAGGTACGCCGCTAAATAGTTTTCCTTGCATTAATGAGGGTGAGTAGTAGTAGTACATAAATATTATTTGATAACAATGTGCATATTCTGTAATAAAGTCGACTACCGTTCCTCTTTTATATTTATATTAAGCATAATATCTTACAACAAACTTATTGAACTTAATATTTCTTGCAGTTTTTATAGGTCAGATCTCTGATTGAATTGTACCCACTAATACATTGGAATTATACTATTGCATATTAAATAATTAATAATCGTTGCTGTATTTTGCTACTTATAAGTAAAATACAGTAAACCACATTGTTTCATTAATAATATATACAGTCATATCATTAACATTTACAATAATACAACATTATTATATTCGCTGACCGAATTAACAGAGCATAGTGGCAAACATTAAAAACTCAAAATAATCGAAAGATTAACTTACATTTATTTTTGGTTTCTGTGTGTCAGTTTGGCATAATTTTAGGGCAGAATCCTTGGATTTCACACCTGGAGTCCAGGAAATGTACCGATTGGATAGCTTTCTAGCAAAATTACTTTTGAAATCCTCGCATCGCATTATGGATTCCACCGGTTTATTAAAATCATCTTCAACGACGTCTGAATCTTGAGATTGATCGAGCATTTTTAAAACCGGCGCGGAAATAAAACCACGATGCCGCGAGGACAACCGTTACTAGTCGATGTGTTATTTGAACTGATGCAAATTGCAAACACTAAACAGCAAACTTAACTGTTTCTAAAGATTGCTTTTGATAGATCTTATAAAATATTTGATTGTGATTTTATATTTGATTATTGTAAAGTGCTTATATTGTCTGAATATCCGTGCCTACATGAATTAAATCGTTTTTTAAATAATTTACATTTTGTAATCTATTTGTAACACTGTCATCTACCGGACAAATGTGCAACTACCAAAATACTGACTCAGGTGACTATACCGTCACATCCGTTCTACACAATTTTTACTCATATTTTTCGGATATGTTCCAGTATTAACTTTTAAATATTTTAATCACACTTTTAAGAACTTTATATATTATATATCTAATCTAATAATAAGGTTGGAAATAATAAATAAAAAGATATAGCCATATTTATTTTAAACGCCATCTAGTAAAGAACAATTGACCTACGATATAAATCACAATGAAATAGTTTACTGCAACGAGAATACTTGGAACGTGTTTTTCTACGGCGTGTATTTTAAAAAAGGTAATCAGATGGTGTTATTTGAACTTGTACCGAATATAAGAAAGTTATTTTAATTCAAAGAAATGAAGTACTTAATTAAAAATCATAAGTAAGACAGCTCTAACTATTTTTGGAAAGAAGTCCTTACTTACATTTATTTCTCTATTTTTAGAAGAAGGTATTGGGTATTTGTCCTGAATATTTGCTTTGAATGATCATATCTTGAATAAAAAGACTTACTAAAAGACGTAGAAGTATTTCTAAGAAACAACAGGAGTAAGCTACTAATATGCATATAATATCTACTTGATTGTAAATATTAATACAACCTTTTTGTTTCTATTTTTCTTAATAATTTATAATGACATAAATGTCAAAATTGACCAGTAATACAGGATTTGTAACCTTTGCAATAGTTTTAAAATGGCACTAAAATAATTTCAAAATAAATAAAAAGCCTTAATATGCATTTATTAATTAAATATTAATTTAAATACTGGCGCAGCGAACCCAATAATAACACCCTAAGGCGCAGATACGATATTAAATAGGTAAATAAAAATTTAATTAATATAAAATTAAGTTGGTCCTTAAAATTGGATTAAAAATAATTTCCCGTGCGTACCGTTCATAAGTCGAAACAATAAACTAAGTCCATAGAACTCTCTCATCTGGCAGATGGTCATCACATTCTGACAGATGGCAGAACGAACTGTAATGTGGATTCAAGTCCGGCGTAATATGTTTTTGTAATAAAAAAATGATATTAGGTCAAACTTGGTTTAACCATTTATAGATAGAATAAACGAATTGAAACTAAAATCAAATCATTTTATTCTATCATTAATATATATGTCTTCACTCACATACACACTTTTGTTGTCTTCTTGTCTCAGGGGGAAGAAGAAAAGAAGCGTTGCTCTTGCAACTTGCAAGTCATGGGATGTGTTGATCGTCTTTTGCGACTTTTTTGCGTGTTTAGAAAATACGATACGCCAAACGGCAGAGGGGCTACAAGTATTGGTATCGGTACTCTTAGCGCGAACAGTGCGTAGAATCACATGGTTGATGATAACATAAACTTTTGTATTGAAAACTTAAATTCTGGGCGTGTTTAGAATACGAACCTACACCGTACGAATAGTATCCGCGTAATATTACATTCTAGCATTCATTTTAAATCCAAACTAGGGTAGCTGTTTTAATCACCTCAAACATATCGATTTTGTTCAACGTGTTTACTACAATTCTATTCGGCTATGGTCGACGTTTAGCTCCAAATACTCCAGTTCATACAAGAATCTTAATGACTTTACGTATTGTTCGTGCTAAGAGACAGAAAGTGAGACCATCATATTGTAGAAAATGCTTCTTCTTGTATATACTTGATAAGTCTATCGATTCCTACCTAGAAGCGAAAATAATCATAAAGAAAATCTTTAACACTTTCTTTCGTTAAGGTGAGAAGATGGATTCCAGTTCGATAAAGAATATTTTCTGCTCCAAATTTGAACTGTCAGAAGTCGTGTTCTTCTGCGTGGCTTTTACATTTATGCTCATCATTCTATCCCAGGCCAGCAGGATGTTGTCCTCCGACTTTATACAGCTGTGAGTAATTCTAATAAATAATAATGTAGTATAGTTAACCTTTTATTGAATTTATTTCGGATGTCCAAATGATATATTTAAAAATATTAGAAGTATCAAGCTCGTTTTTATAATTTTTGTTGGAATATGTGAAATTACTCAGAGACAGTGTATCTTACCATTACCGAAATTATGTTTAAATCTGTTTAGTAGTTATAGAGATTAATATATACTAGTAATAATATACATGTAAACAAAAGACCACGCTAATAGGGTGTTTACTAAATATTTATTTAATAAGTTATTATATTGTGGATAAAATATATTAGCAGACCCAATGGTAAAAGTTTCTGAATTTTCTCTCAGACTATTATAGTATAAAAGATATATAAAGTTAATCTAAAAAAAATATGAAATAGACACAAATATGTGTCTATACCTTGTGTCTTATTGTGAAAGAAGTTTAAGAGATCTTACCAGGATAAGTGCAGATAAATGTTATAGTTAAAAAAAACTCCCGATGGTGCGGCATATATTTACAATGTTACATATTTTTACTCAGTTACAGATTCCTCTAATTAAGTAAACAATTATAGATTAACAATTTTGATAACTCGGTGTCTATTACCAGCGTTATATAATGTTACAATTCACAAATTGAGAAACTGTTCGCTACTGTAGCCATTTTTAATAACGTTTGGCAACGTGTTATGCAATCATGGTCTACTTAGAACCTTCTAATAAGCATTGTTTGTGTTTTGGAGTCGTGCTTTGTCTGAAAATGTTTTTGCTATAAACCTCTAAAGTTGAATATCTGTCACATATATATATATCTTCTATTATTTTTAATACGATGATGTGAGTTTGGTCATTTAATACAAAATATTACTCGTACACTTAGAACTCAATTCTATGTGATATTTGTTTATCAAAGCACCAAGTTATTGTTCAGAGGTGCGGCACCCAAAATTAAAGTAGCCAAGATGATCTCCAACCTTCGAAAGGATTTGGCACTATAAGAAGAAGGTATTTGTTCCTTTGCGCTAATAATAATACTTTGTTTCAGATGTTGATAATGCAAAAATACCCTGGAAGCAGAGACCACATAATTATTATAATTTTGATGTGCTTTACACTTTTATTCATAGCATACAAAGACTCATGTAGAAAATACTTCCATTTATATTAAAATTTACATAAATTAGCATTTTAATTTTACTACCTACCTACCTATTGGAGAGCAGTGTTGGCCTAGTTAAGGCATGTTTTCAACGATTCGTATTCTATGTAATAAACACTAACGCTCAAAATAAATGAGGAAATAGGCGTATACCCAAAAAAACTATCTCCTTGTCTATAAATTTAATTCAGCAATACAAAAGTCTAGCCCTCAAATTCAGAGTCAAGATGACTCCTGTATGTTTATTATTAAATTTTTACATACACTGACTGTTGATTTTGACGGGAGTCACAGTTCCTGCTAAATTCTGGTATATCTAAAGTGCTATTGAAGAAGTATTTTAAAAAACAATGGAAGAAAAAAAAAAAAAAAAAAAAAAGGGGGAAAAAAAACGACGCCTCCCACGCATAAAGTCGTAAGGCAAAAAAAGCATTTTTTCAGGAGAGCAATTTTTGTGTACGTTAATGATAAACTTAATTTGTTAAACATTTTTAACCGATATTTTTGCACTATGCGATTAATTATTAGTTACAAAACATTGCTCTCAAAGCTGGATGCTATAAAAAATTATATTTATGCAAAATTACTAATTTTAGTTACATACGACCTTATACTCACTAGAAAAACGTCGTGTCTTATTGTTACGACTTTATGCTTTTAATCAGGTTGTTATAAACAACGCGAATAAAGTCGTATGTTTGAATTACGACATTATGCTACGCGTAAACTGCCATATAGGTATCTCGAAAAGGTGGTCGTATGTGGTGGTGGTACTTCATGAATAAAAACAAAAAAAATGTGTAGGCTAAAACTAGCTTTATTAAAATATCTATAAGTATAGGAACATAATGCAGTCTTCTTTCATTACACCATGAACAGTATAATAAACGTTTAATAAAAAAATAACATAGCTTCACTAATAAAATTAAAACTGGCCAGTGAGTCTTTGGAGCACAGATAGATTAATGAAATAAAAAATGACTACAAATAAAAAATAAAAATAAGACTGATAAATCAAGTTAAAGGAAACAAAAAATATTTAAATCTTCAAAATAAAATGAAAATTACTTTAAATTAGATATTGAATCATCTTATACATAATAGACCTTTAGATTTATGATAGAATATCAGTGATGTAATTGACGGTTATTCAGAGGAATCACTACTGTTCTGTTCTGCAACATTGCCGCTGTGTGACAACTGTTGATAAAAACTATGGTACTCTTGAGGTATTATACGTCCTTGACAAAGACTTAATAAATCATTAAACTTTGCTAATGTAATAGGTAAATGGTCAGAGTAACATGGACCTAAAATTTCTGTATGTAATAAATTATTATTTTTCCTTCTTGATGAATAATTTTTTTTGGTTATTAAACTCATAATGTTATTTTCTTCTTCAAAATTATAACGATAGTTCAAAATATAGGGTTCGTTGGACACTACCTGAACTTCTCTAATCTTGTTCCATGATATTTTTTGGTTTTTAGTATTTTTAGCCCAATTTCTACCGTCTAGCAAAATTTTATAATTGTAAAAATCTGTAACACTCATTTCAATTACATTATAATTTGGGGGGTTGACTTTTGACCATCTAACTAAGGCAAACCACTGTGCAGGAGTATATATAAGTTTATTTTTTTGCATTTCTCTCAATCAAA